GAAACACTGCTTGGTCAACGGCGAAGTTAAAGAGGAAAGCTGACAGCGGGCAACCTTATTTCACACCGCTAGAGATAGTGAAGGGCGGCGACAGTTTGCCGTAAACCCTCATTCTGTCTGGACTATGCGCGTACCTCGCTCTTATGACATTTACATATTTCACGAGCACACCTTTCTTCAGAAGACAGTCCCAAATGCCACATCGAGTAACCGAATCGAAAGACTCTATGATGCCCAGGAACACAATAACGGTGGGTCCCAATAAATATAGTGGTGCTCGAACAATTGATGTATAGTGGAGATGTGGTCAACGCAGCCCAGACCTCGACGAAACCAGGTTTGTTCTTAAAGAATCTGGCTTTCACGAGTGTCATTCAGTCTGTGGAGAACGAAAGACGCAAACGATTTATAGGCAATTGAGACCAGACTGATCCCTATGTGATTGTTGCATTCCGAACGGGAGCGTCTCTTGAAAGTTGGGACTATGACAGAGCTACTCCCATCAGTTGGGACAATTTCCTTCGCCCAAAGTTTCACTGGCAACTTGTGTAAATCACCTACAAGAGTAGAACCCCGACGGCTGGGAAACTCTATCTGTCCCAGCGGGTCTCACGCAATTTCAATAATTCGATCTCACGTTCGACTTCTGAGCATGAGGGCGGATTCAAGGAGACAGGCCGAAAAAGAAAGTGATAACTCAGATTGGTTAAACAGCCTTGCAAAGTGTTCGGCCCAACGCTCCAAGCGTTTTGACAAGTTGTGGATCGGCTGTGAACTCCCGTCGCCTATGGTCTCGCTAACACCAGGTCTCCGCTGCCTGTTTTCGGTACTAGGTGGAATAACTTATGATGATCAGCAACGACAATTGCTGTTTCCATTTCTGATGCACGACGAGACCACCAGGTTCTGCGGTCTATCCTCTTGTTAGCACGCAATTTCGCCCTGAGATCTTTGCTTGTCTCAGTGTATTCGCTTCCAGCCGGAATATGTTGGCGAGCATCCACAAGTACTATAGACTGTGTAGAGACTTAATGTCTATGTTGGCAATTTAATTTACAGAAGAGTAGTAGGGGGAGTTGAATGTTATAGGTAGAAATTCGTCACATCTAGACTCACTCCGACAGCCGCCACACGCCCGGAAAAGCATTGTACGCGCGTTTCACCCTTTCGGGGATCGTCAGCAGTGCGCATTCCATCGGACCCTGGTAGGGATCGAACCCGCAACTCGACTGTTGCCAGTCCGTGGTTGAGACCACTGAGGTACAGGGGACGGCAACGACCATCGCGAATAAGTTACTAGATGCGATATAGCGCCGCTCACTATCCACTGACTTACACGTTACTGCCGTGCATAGGACAGGGTAGCCCCCCACACCAAGCGACGAGCTTACCAAACTTAAGCCGCCAATTGACTTATGGCATTATAAGCAGTTTGGTCTGCGTACTGATTACAGAAGAGTAGTAGGGGGAGTTGAATGTTATAGATACCCTGTCCTACGCACGACAGTAACGTGTAAGTCAGTGGATAGTGAGCGGCGCTATATCGCATCTAGTAACTTATTCACGATAGTCGTTGCCGTCCCCTGTACCTCAGTGGTCTCAACCACGGACTGGCAACAGTCGAGTTGCGGGCTCGAGCCCTACCAGGGCCCGATGAAATGCGCACTGCTGACGATTCTCGAAAGGATGAAACGCGCGTACAGTGCTTTTCCGGGCGTGTGGCGGCTGTCTGAGTGAGTCTAGATGTGACGAATTCCTACCTAATTTAATTTACCTCGTGAAGACATGCCTGCTGATAGAAACGTTTGGCGAATATGCAACTAGTGAACGGCAATGATGTTCAGTGAGCGCTTACTAAGCTCTAATGCCAGCGTACTTTGATACGCATTCAGAACATCTGGATTCCCCAGTTGGTTGGTGTCTATGCGCTCACAGTGACGTTTCGGACGTCCACCGAAAAGCACCCGAAGGTCGGCACACACAAGAGTGTGGTCGGAGTCAACATTAGTGGTCCAAATCGTGCGACAGTTTTGGACGCAGTCTCTCCAGCGGTAAATGATCGCGATGGGATCGATTTGCGTCCATGGCTGCTCTGAAGATGGTGGGCGCCAAGTTGCTCTTCTGCAAGTGCTGTGTCGAAAATTAGTGCTCGCAAGAAGGAGACGAGCACCTTCATACAGGTGTAGCAACCACTCACCGTGATGTTTACGGGAGCCTACACCATGTTGGCCGCCCAGGTGAAGCGCAACAGAAGACAATTTACCGATTTTTGTGTTTAGATTACCAGCAAGCACCACAGCATCTGTACCCTTTCTGTAACGAAGATCGTTAAGTGAGTGATAGAAATCATCCTTCAACGAATCAGTACTCCAGTTTGTGGGCGCGCATGCAGCAATGACGAACAGACACTGTTTGTCCCTGCGTGACTTGGAAGCCCAGAACGAGCCGGCCAATCTAACGACGCACGTCGGGCCGTTGATTGGGATACAGTCGATCAGGGCAGCTTCAGCCTGGGGACTCAAAACAATGCCGACGCCAGCTCGACCTGCATTTGAAGCTGCGTCATCGCCAGACAGGCGCAACGAGAATGGACCGCCAGTGTCGCATGTGGGGGATTGCAGGGTAAGCACGGAGCTCGAACCTTGCAGGCAGGTTCCGATAAACAGCAAATGTCGATTGATAGGGTATCTATTGTTCGGACAAATGCTACCTGTTGGCCAATCTGTTGCGCATGTTGATGTATGCCAGTCTTAGTGAGGATCGAGGACTCCAAAGGGAAACGGATGAACTGACGTTCGCTTGATTGAACATGGACTTGTCGACTGGACTGGAGCGGCGCCCTGTGACTTCGTGTGAGTTGCAACTAGAAGACAAACGACTATTGAAGCAGGGTGGGGAAGGGCCAAGAATTGGAGAGATTGAAAACGGGAGGAGAGAAGGGAAGTTGGAGCGGAACGCTAAGGATGCAAAAGCGCAAGAGGGGGGATAAGGAGGCGGGAAGGTCTGAGCAGTAGCATCCAAACCATTATCCACCCAGCTCGATGCACCAGATAGGGCGCCGTTTATTATCTCCTGCGACGGCCGGCGCATCAAGAAATCGTGTGGATGGAAGTTCACAGTTGTATTGCGCAGGCAGGATACTGTCAGATTGCCCATGCCTAGACAGGAAAACAATTAAGGTTCTCAAGCAAAGCCATTGGTTCAAAAACCTGACCGCAAAGCACTGGGCTACTGAGAGTCCGTTTTATGAAGTAAGGAGCCACTCTAACACCAAGCTCCAACCTGGAGGGCCCGAAAACTGTGTTTGTTTGGCCTCTACCCTTTGACCAATCTGGTATGGGTGGCTCTGAAGGTGTAAAAAGAACCACCCAGCATGGCTCAATGGATCACTGAGGTACACAAACCAACGCATTACGTTAAGGTCCAGTCTCGTCGCGATGGTTGGTGTTGTAGCAGTTGATCTGCTCCCCGGTTGACAACACGAATCTCCGTCCAAGACAAATCGCCTTAGCGAAAAGAGGTTGTATATTGCACTGGTGATTCGGTATGCGTGCCGCTGCGGTACATTTGGTCGTACTAGATGGTGCTCCAGACTGACTACTAGCCAGGGGCTGGATTGTCGCAAATTCCCTCTCCTTCTGGTTAGAGACTAGCAGCGGGGTGACGCAGATTTTATAAATCCAGCTGACAATATGAACACGCTTTCGAGCTAAATGCATTGATCGAGAGCAGTTCGGTTTCGCATAACGCTCTCTCTCTCTCCACTCCTTCATACCACATCAGGGCATTTGTGATGGTATAACAGTTAAACATCAGCTCAAATCATGGATGTACCGATGCTACTGTTGTTAAAGGCGGTGGGCAAATACTGACCATATTTAGTTCTTCGTCAAAATACATGCTTTATTCGAAATGTCGGGAGGAAATCTCCAGCCTGAACGGACATCTGATATATGTGTGTGACGTCCGTATCGGAGAAATAATGACCGATCATATCCAATCCGGCCTGTGGCCTAAAGGATCACACGCGTGCCTCGTAATTCGGAGGTCCCGTATTCGGGCCTGCGTAGAGGACCGGGCGACCATTGCAGTATTCTTAGCCGACACGCGACTGGTAGTGGTTGCGCTGCAGCAATACGTACGGGCGTACTGCTGGCGCCTTTGTTAGATATCAGTTTACCGAAAATCATAATGGTCCAGGCAGTATATGCACTTTATCAGCTTTGCTCCAACGCGGCACAAGTAGACACCAGATAAAATGTTATTTAACCGCAGGAGAAGAATATGCAGCCCTGATTGCCTAAAGAAGAAGTATTGGAGCTGCGGACTAGTACACTATTGGAAAACTGACATCCGACTTATTTATTGCAGAACACAGCCGAACAAAAGTGGTGGCAAAGAAGGTCCTCATAGCGGTCAAGAAAACATCTTTGTCGAACTACTATCTAAGGGAGATTTTTTGCCATGAGGACAGCAAAGCGTATAACTTCTGCTGTCCATGCGACTTGTTATGCTGCTGGTGCTGTCCTTATTAACCGGACCAACTAAACTGCCTGTTCTCCGGACAAAAGAAAGACAACCTATCGGCACCGATACACACTGTATTTCCCCAAAACGGAAATATTGGATTGTGTCAACGCAAAAGGATTAGCACTCGGGAATAAACAAAGTCCAAAGGGATGTTCAGCAACGATGGTCAGTTCATAAACTGAAAGATTTTCAAAGTAAAACATTCCTTTTTGCTTTCACAGGTATATCTGGTCGACGATCAGAGCACATTGAGTCGATAAGTAGTAACCACGGAAATGTCCGAGATGGCGCTTGGATCGTAGCGTGCCGAGTGAGCTCTGGATCGTATGATAACCGACGCAACAAACTGAAAGTCGTTCAAAAGAGTAGGGCCAACTGGATTCAAAGTGATAAATACAAAAGCTCACAGTGTTCACATACATAAATGTACATATTGCATTTGAAAAAGATGACAAGATCTGGTAAGAAAGTTAACCACCATGTAGTGAGGATATGAAAGCAACTTTGTCCGAATCACATAAAACGTATTCATCTTCCCCGAGCAGACTGTAGTCAGTGTCGTTGATGAGAACGAGAATACCTGAGCGGATTTTGTTGCCCTGAAGAAATAACTCCGGCCGCTCCTGTAACAAGTTGTCTCTTATCCAAAGGAGTAGATCTTTCAAAGTGGACACTGAATGGGGCACCTCCACCAAGTGCTCCTTAACCTTTCCGAAAAGAAGTTCTGCTCCACCACCGAACTCCAAGCACAGTTTCATCGCTTGGGACGTGTGGTTTTGACAAGACAGAGCGTGGGCTGAAAAGTAAGAGGGTTGATCAGAACAACCAGTTAATAGAAAGCAAGCAAAAGTAATCGATTATCGTCAGCAACACCGCCATCTTGATTTTGGATTATCCAAAATGCCGAATAAATCTCCATGCGACATCTGCCGTGTGTGTCGGATGCCGGTTAAATTCTCTCATGTGTCAAGTGTCCTGCGAATTTCTACACTTAATATATCGGAATATCTATCTAACATCAAGCTCATGTAATCCAACACAAGCTCGTCCGAACTTTGTGTAAGCAGTGTCGAAGTCAAACGACCAGGAAGAGTGGAGCAACATGAGCCAGTAAGTAGGTAGAGGCGTTCTATGGAAGGCTCCATGTGTTTGACCCAAAAAGCTAACCCGAAATCTTTCTAAAGTTCGAACAAGCTTTCCTGCCGGTCCCAAGCCGGAAAACCGGCATGTAATTCTGTGGCAACGGAAACCCTATATCACCGAATACAATCCGATTATTCAATGTATTCTATGGACACCAATATTTCAGGGTGCGAGAGCCTGAATGCTAAGGACCCGTGGCAAACAAAGGAAGAAAAGAAAGGAAAAGTTGATTGTTACAAAATGACAGCTGACCAGGCCAAGCGACGCTTGAGACACCTTACACTCTGTAAAAGAAAATTTGACCGACCAGAGCTAATGGCCCTTCACGTGTATGAATAAAATAGTATGCATTCCCAGGTGCGTTATGACGATAACATCAAGCTTCTGCGGCTTAAATGACAGTCCTTGACGTGGGCGAGGGCGGGTCGAAGATGAAGTAAGTTACGCCTATTGGAAAGATGATCAAAAAGTCACTTTTGTGGACTAAGTCAGCTAGAGGATGATACTTTCCTGCTTGAGTAGGCTGAGGGGTCGGAAAATCCATGTTCGTCCAGAGCAGTTTAGTTCAGCTAGTTGAAAAACTATGATCCGGGCTGGCTAGCCGAACAACCTTCACGTGGTGTAAGCTGGGTGGTTCGCGTTTAATCCGCTCCAACAAATAGATCGGCGGCAGTGTTCCAGGACGCGGTGGGTTTTCGCTTGGCAAGCGTTCTCGCTATAAAAGGACACAAATGTCTGCTTATCAACTCTGCGACGTGGCGGATGTGACTCGCCACAAACTAAAGTCATTGCTCTGTGGATATTCGGAAAATGCTATCCAACCCACGGACATCAATTGCTTATTCTCACATTCCTGACGATTACAAACAGTCAAAAATGCTGCGGCACATTCACAAACACAAGCTACACAGCTACATTCATACACAATTACATACGTATATATACTCATACACACATTCACTGTCATGCCAAACATGCATTTTCGTACATTTCTGATCACACTGTTAGCTTAACATGATCATACCTGTAAAGATGTGCCCCGCATTGTCGAGAATAAAAGCTTATTTATTTAGGGAGTGCGGTGGATCCAGTTGCCACGATCCACTTTGCCAGAATAACAATAGATGGCAACGGAAAATGAAGTCGGATGCAAATAGAATGTAAAGAAAATTGAATCAAGAAGGAAGTGCGTTAGACTAATCAGGATGGAATGAAAACTAACAGCTAGACTCAAGAAACCGGACGACACCGGCTGCTCAACTGCGTCATGTCTGATAGTCTCCAACTACTGACGTGGACCACCCCGGGGCCCCCATCCACGAAGACGAGATGCACCACCCTGAGCAAGTCTCTCGGTCAGTTTCTTCATGCCTTTTATACCACGTCATGGACTGGTCACCTCGAGGTTTCGTCCAACTTGGCAGAACCAAGGCGTATAATGAACGCCGAGGAAGTCACGTAACGGCATGCAGAGGACATGACCTAGTCTTCGGCCAGATCTGAATGCGGTGTACAAGGAGCGGCTGAGACATGTGGTCATTGAGCTGAAACGGCACAATGATGGGGAAACAAATTTCCGCATTGTAAGTGTTCGGGTGACTACATAGATTCCCCGATTCAGGATTAAAGGTGCTGATCACGCTACAGACGTGCCTAATGCTTCCCTCCGCAGTATGCGGGTGGGTGTCATTAATATGCGCAGTATTCTGAAGAAGTGCGATGAGCTGTGCCGTTTTGCTACATCTGAGGCCAGACATACCAGGACTCACAGAGGTCTGGTTGAATTTTGAGACAACCCCCAAGGAAGTCGAGTGAAGTGGCTACAGATGCCTCAACTGTTATTTAATAAATGGCCGCGATGGCGTCATTCTTTGCATTAGAGACTAATGAGCACCTGCCGAAGCGAAGGTGGTAGTTGTGATGCTTGATCCACCTGACGCGGAAAACTGCCAGAAGTGTGGTTTACCATAGTATTCTGAATCGTTTTGGACCGGCTACCGCAGTTCACAGAAACAGTTTCCCCCGTGGCCCAGTGGCATAAGCTGTTGACTGGCGGTTCAACCCGCTGGTGGTCATGGGTTCGAATCCTGACGGATCCGAAGGATGCGCACTACTGACAATGCCCAACAGACTAAAACTGCAGTTTAGTGCTTCTAAAAAAACATTGATCAGACCACATAGTTGGACTGCACCTCGAATCACCGAGGAATATGCTATTTATTTATTTACACACTTCTGTGAACACTGTGGCGATATCTCAGTAAAGTCCTTAAATAGTGCTTGCACGACATAACTTGAACAAACAGCTTGGAAACGATCGACAAGTGCGGTCGCGTTTCGATTCACATCTGCGCACAGACCTCCTAAAGTGGCAGCCCGTGCTCCAGCCTGTACCGCGTGAACCCGAGGCGGTTCAGGGGCAGGAACCAAAGAAACTGCCCCTGTCTGACAAACCAAACAGCGTCCCTTATCATGAATCAGAGCTAGTGCTCTGCCTCACTGACGCATGAGTTCGTGGGACCATTGGAGTAAAGTAGATGAAATAGTCGGCGGAAAATGTCCACCACCCTTAGTTCCTCCACTCCCAGAGACTGTTGAGTACAGCAGGCTTCCCTATAAACTCGCAGACCGATTCGGCTTAGGATTAATAGTCCGCACGGTCATAGCGTTCTCGGTGTTAAGCAAGAAGTTTATGAGATTCCAACAGACTCACAGACCCCTCAGGTGTCCAGTGTCTGATGGGATGAGGAACAGTGGTGGCGAAGGAAGAAATGTGGCACAAGGACATTATTCCACCGAAGCGAACGTCAGAGTAATTGGGTGAAATCCTGGGATCACCATGACTAATAGTGCCGTAAGTAAATGCATAAGTGTAGTGCATGGTGGCCGAGATATCACTCTCTTGAAGTAACCAGATAGTAGCTTGGTTTACATCCACTCATCCAACACATAGCTATGGGTGAGAAGAGTAAATAAATCAGGTGACAGTAAAAAGAGGATAAAGTATAGCAAAACAAAAGTGTCATTACGCTGTGTTTTATATTATGCATTAGCGACGAAATCGTGGTTGGAGAGGGGGGCTAAGCGGGGTATGACGGGATAAAGAAACATACAACACACATCACTGTGGTCAGTCCTTCGCCATGTCGACAACTGTGTACAACGAAACGTGTTCATCGCCTTTAGGACTCCAACAAAAGAGTTGAGAGGCTCCAACCAAGGCTAGCTTCAAAGTAAGGGACTTCATTCCTCTAAACCAAGCTATGGTCTAGCATCCCCTCCTTTTTCCATCCAGATCCCAGTCGTGCACACAACGTATATTGCGGGAGTCGGTGTACTGGTATGCGCAACACGTGTCCCAGCTGAGCAGTTCACTCGCTCTCCCTGCACAAAATACACGATACCGAATATGCCCATTGCTCCCGCGGTGCTCCGACCAGATGTGAGCTAAGCTGCGGAGGTAGCGATGGTCGAACGTAGCTGGTCTCTTTATGTCTGTCGACCTGGTGGGCTAGGTCTCGCAACCGTACAGAAGGTTGGAACGGAAGAGGCTGCATCGTAAACCCTGCCCTACAGGGCGAGAGTAATGTCGCGCCGGCCCCACAGGTTACTAAGGTTAGAAGAAGCGTCACCAGCTTTTGTAATGCGGTTCGTGGCCTCATCTTCCATTCCACAGGCGCTAATATAGCTGTCTAGATATTTGAATTTCTGGCTGATTAGTACCAAGGGTCAGTACAAGGGTAGGTCGCTGCCAAGTCTGGAGGACTTGGTATTTTGAGCTCGCAAAGCATAGCCCAAAACGACTGATAGCCAGTGTTAATCTGTCCACTGCTGCATGGCACGTTTGGGAGCTATCACAGATAAGGGCAATGTTTTTGAGGTACTCCTAGTAAAGAGGTCGCCCAGTAGGAAACAGCTCCAGCTGCACAGCGGTAAATATCGGCGAGAGCGAGGAGACCTCATCAAGGCTTACTCAATACTGTCGAAGTCAAGTCACGCCTGTTGCAACCGAGCCAAAATATTAGGTTGTCCCGAAATCAATTGACCCTCGCAGCACACATTTGCAATCATTATTTGTTTTAAACAATCAATAATATTTAAGTGACTTAATATCCATTGTTATCGACGATGTACTGCCAACGTTCAGGCAAGTCATCGATGCCTCTCTCGTAGAACGAGTCGGCAAGGTACGTTTCGATTTAATTGCAATCATCGAATCCCTCGTACTTGAAGTGATTTTGCAGCGAGCGGAAAAGGTAGTCAGCAAAATCCGGGCTATTGGTTACATGCATAAGAGTTTCGAGGCCGAGCAGATGAATCTTGAGACGCGTCAACTTTTTTTAAATGAGGTGTGATGTCATGAAGGAGAATGGTTCGAGCGGCTTTTGGACGCTATTTTTGGTGTTCACCGACCATCTTTTTCAGCTGTTAACAGTAGACATTGGCAGTGATCGTGGAATGGTCAGGTAGCAGTTCTCAATAAATGACGCCGCGGTGATTCCACCAGACCGACAGCATCACCTCCTTGCCGTGTAGTTCGCATTTCGAAACTTCTAGTGGTTTTTCATCTGCTGTGATCCGCTGACTATTCCTGCAACAGTTGACATGGTGCCCC